CTTTATAACAAAAATTCCCCAAAACATATATATATCAAAAGCACCTGAACACCAAAACTGAACACCAGAATACTAACCTGACCTGAACACAAAACTGAACACAAAGATTCATGTACTGAGGCATACGCCTCTACACAAGTAAATCATATGCCTCTGCACAAGTAAACAAAGATTCATATACTGAAGTACGAGTGTCAATTCTTAAATCAGATGCAAGAAAGGATACTGCTATAAGTTTATAACAAATTGGATTAGGAGCTTACATGTTTTTGACAGGAAGCACCACTCAAGATTAGCCTTCTCAGTTCTCGCAAGAAAGTCATAATTTTTTGAAGGTGCAAAGCCACTGATTTAAATAGTTCAAGGCTACAAAACTCATGTCAGACACAACCTATAATTCATTCATGTTTCTCAACCATCAGCTTTTGTGTATAAAAACTGGAAATTAAACAGCCCAAATAACACAATGACATTACTTTCAAATAAAGAAATTACTAATCAATGCAAAGGACCGAGGACAATATGCAAAGAAACCAAAGATATAGACAAGTTGACCACAGAATGCATGTAACCAGCAACAACACAACATCAAGAAACACAACTGAAGGAAACCAGCATGCATACATGTAACCAGCAACAACACAACATTAGGAAATGCAGCTGAAGGAAACCAGTACGAATACATGTAATCAACAACAACGTAGCATGAATACATGAATCAGGAAGCAAAGCCGACGATAATATGCAAAGCAACATGAATACAGATAATTGTTACCTCATGAATGTTTTTTTCCTCTTAAGCATACAACTTAATCACTGCATCATCTTCTAAAAAAGACGTACACAGACAAACAAACCCAAAAGATACAGGCCATTTCAGATAATATTTTCAGTTAATTTCAGATAATTTTAGTTAATTTTAGATAATTTAAGAACATAAAATTTTCAGATAATTATAGAAAATACAAAATTTCATCATAATAATTCTAAAGTATACGAAATTTTTTAAAAATCAATTATGAATTGAGATTAAATTATAACTTAGATCTAAAGTATAGCAAGATCCAGCAAAAAAACACAAAATTTTCCAATAAAGGCGCTGTCTTTTTAGCAAGATCCAACAAAAACAACGAATTTGAGGAACCGAGCCTTGATAAATATGAAAATCAAATGTGAAATCAATAGTTTAAAACTCCCGCAGGCATCTGAGAGAAATCATAGCGCGAAGAGTGAAAAAGCGAGGGAAAGCGGTGGTGACCCTAGCCCTCAACAAGTTTTCCTCAAAAAACTGTAGATTTGACAAGAGTACAGATTTTTGACGATTTCCTCTCGTTTTCGAAGGAAATGGGGGGAAGGTGAAAAGCTGAGGTGGAGGGGATTTCCGCGGCTGGAGGGACGAGAGGAAGAAGCGAACCAAAGCGGGGAAAAGAAAACCCTAGAACGGGTTTTGTCGAGGTGGCATGGTTTTCAGAAGGAGGAAAGGGTTTTTCGCGACTCAAAAATGCGAACCAAACGGGCCCATAGAGTAAAACAAAGCTTTGAACAAAGTCATTATTTACCGCTTTGAAGCAAATTAGGATGAATTTTCAATGAGGTAAACAATCTTAAAATTAATTAATATGTTTCTAGGGCCGTACCTAGGAATTTTGAGGCCCAAGACGAAATATTAGATGAGGCCCAAATGATACAACTCATAATAGATTTTATCTCATTCTTCTTACATTTTCAGCTACAAAATTACTAATTAAAGTTTTATATTCAATATTTTCTAACATATTATTTTCGATAGATAATATTGCTAAACCATTCAATCTATCTTGTTAACATGGTCGATCTTAAATAAGATTTTAGCAATTTTAATTTTAAAAACTTCTTTCAGCGGAAGCAACTGTTACGGGTATAGTCAATAATACATGATAAGCAATATAAGTATTTAGAAAAGAATCTAACCACTTTATATAGTTCAACACTTCAATTGGACTATTAATCTCTACTTCTAAAATTTGAATAGAAGCAATTCAGGTTATAAATTTGAACTAGAAACAACTCAGGTTATAAATTTGAATAGAAACAACTAAATATGATCAAATAACCTAAACTATACACTCTACTTCCGAAAACATATTTGCATGAACCATGATCATAATCTAGACCCTAAACTACCTAAACATCAAACCTTCAAGTTAATCAACATCATTTTCTCTGCATAATAACTAGACACTGAAATTTACATTTTCCAAACAATACAAAACATCATAAAACCAACGACGCATATATGCATTAATATTACTTCCAAGAACCCATTTGGAACCCATTTTCAACAATTCATTATGATAATATAGACCACCCAGCTAAACCCAGCACTCAAATCACCTCCAAATTATCAATACCCCTTTCCTCACCCCAAAACAAGAACACATAACCAACCCTAACATCTGTGAATCCACAATAAACACACAGATTCGATTTTTACTAAAACAGATCAAAAAACAACGCAAAATAAATAAAGGAAGTCGTAAAACAAACCAGTAAGCGTGCTCGCAACCTTTCACAAGGGTCTATGAGGACTATAACTACAAGTTGTGGGTGAGTCATGGGTGGGCCTTACCTAAGCTGAGGCTCAAGGCAAATGTCTTAATTGCCTTAAGCTAGGGCAAGCACTGTATGTTTCGCTACACTTTTTATTAATTAGGGAATTAAATAAGTAACCCTTTTGCGCTATCTTTTCCAGGATATAAACAAGGAAGTGAAAATCAGTGGATTGTAAAAACATGGGAAAAGATTGCACATGAAGGAATTTCTTTCTCTAATTATTAGAGAAAGCCTTCGTGAGAAAACGAGGGAATATGTTCCTAGCAACCATGAGATTATTTTAATTAAGCAACTGAATATTTAAAAAGAAAAGAAACAATGAGTCCAGACGCAAGAAGGATCTTTAGGTATGGAGCTATTACATCATATGGCCACGTTATTAGGAGTTATTTTCTTGATAAAACCTTTCAAGAGATTTTGAATTTCTACCTAGAAATTCAAAGCGGAGGACCATAAACAATTCAATATTGATCATAATAACACTGATTAAATTATGGATCAAGGACAACAAGCGTCCACAAGATAATCATGGAGATTATACAACCATATAACTTTGCTTCTAAACTTTTCTAGGAAAGAAGTCAAACGAGCAATTAATTTATTGTCAAAAGAAATCAAATTGCAGCCACTTTTTTTGGCAATTTGCATTCAAATTAGATCCTTATGGTACAAGTTTTCATGAACACATCTTAATCAAATTTTTTTTAAATGGAAAGACAGAATAATTTTGGTAAATACATATTAAGAATAAACAAATCCTTAAGTCCTTTTAGGATGTAATTTATACTTTATTGGAAATATATTAATGCGCAATTATAATTTATTTCCTAAAGAGCATGTTACAAAAAGTAATAATAATCCAAAATCAGGTCCTACAAATGGACCCAATAAACCTAAGGCTTCGTTTGGCTAGCATGGTGTTTTCTTTGTTGTGTTTTTGTAAAAAAAAACACCATGGTGTTGTGTTTTTCACTTAAAATGTTTTCAAAACACAATGTTAAGTATTTTTGGTTAACACTAGTTTGACTCATTACAACATTAGTATTAAACATATTATTAATATATTATATATTAATTATAATAAAATATATTATAAATAAAATATTATAATATTTAGTTTACATTATTATAGTATTAGAAGTATTAAATATAATGCAATATAAAATTGTATAATGTATTATAATATTATATTGTACTTAATAAGTTATATTATATTATAATTATTACATATTATTTTCAAATAATTATATATTTAATTATTTTAATTTATGATATAAATAAATATTATTATATTATTAATATATTATTTTTTATTAATATTTATTAGCAATAAATTATTTTATTTATTATATAATATATTAATATTTTATATATTATATTACATTTACTATAAAATATATTATTATAATATTATTATTATATTGTTATTTTATTTTTAAATATGTTACTATTATATAATATTTTATAATTATTAATTTATTACAGTTTATTTATTAAAAGATAATAATATTATAGTGATTATACTATTGTGTAGTATATTATTATATCATTATTATATTGTTATTTATTATCAATAACTTTTTTAGTATTTTTAATTAGTTTATTTATATATTATTATTATTTATTATTATATAATATTAGTATTTGTTTGTAAAAAACAAGATAGTCCCACATTGGAATTTTGAACATTCTTTTAGAGGTTTAAAAGCATTGAATGCTTATTGGGCTTTGAATAATTGATCAAAGTGTAGTCTTCTAAACCCGCGTGCGGGTAGCGCAAATAATACGCGATTTTGATGCGATTATTAGACGCACTTAGCACTTGCCGCTGACGCTTAAATGTTCTATTTTTTATATATATTGAATATATATATTTTTAAAATGTTCTTTTGAATTTTAAAAAATTATGAAAAGACAAGTGACAGTTGAAAAGTGACTGTTTGCTCCAATGGGTGTTTTGAAAAGTTGTGACTGTTGGAAGCACCTTTTCAAAACCTATAAATACTTTATGTTTTTAGATATCTAAAAAAACAATTCTTTTCTGAATCTTTTCTATCAAAAACTTCTGCAATATTACAAACTTGTTTCACAACGAATTTTCTGAATCTTTTCTATCAAAAACTTCTGCAATATTACAAACTTGTTTCACAACGAATTAAGAAAAATTCCAGATTTGCTTACTGGCAATATTACAAACTTGTTTCACAACGAATTAAGAAAAATTCCAGATTTGCTTACTGGAATTTTCATTTTTCTGTTGTATCCTGGGAAAAAAATTTGCATTAACCCGAAGCAACTTTGAATATCAAGTGGGGGCAAATATTTCTTTAAGAAAAGTGTTTCACGCTTCAGAATTTTTGTGTCCTTCATTGTTTTACTAACAATCTTAAAGAAATATCTCTGCTACAATGGAGTCGGAATCAATCAAGGTGATGAATCAAGATATGGTCAAATTGGACCGATTCGACGGGAACAATTTCTCTCGCTGGCAAGACAAGATGATGTTTCTTCTTACAGCATTGAAGATCTCCTACATTCTCAACCCCAATCTGCAGCCCATAGAAGATCCAAAACCAAGTGCAGACGGCAAACAACAACCTACTGAGGAAATAGAAGAAATCAAAAAGCAAAAGGCAAAACGGGAGGAAGATGAAGTGTTGTGTCGCGGTCACATTCTGAACACACTTTCGGACCGATTATATGATCTTTTCACAAGGTTAAAGTCGGCAAGGGAGATCTGGAACGCACTGGAATTTAAATACAAAGCCGAGGAGGAAGGTACAAACAAGTATTTAATTGCAAAATATCTAGAATATAAAATGGTTGATGACAAGTCTGTCCTAGAGCAAGTTCATGAATTGGAGGTTCTGGTTAATAAGATTCATGTTCTCAAAATAGTTCTTTCAGAGTCTTTTCAAGTTGCTGCAATTATTGCAAAACTACCATCAACTTGGAAAGATTACTCGAAGAAACTAATGCATAAAACTGAGGATATCTCTTTGGAACAACTTCAGAAGAATCTTAGAATTGAAGAGGAGTCACGCATACGTGATTCGAAAAATTCTGTCCAAAGTGATTGTAAGGTCCACACTGTGGAAAAGAATGAATCTTCGGTAAAAAAATGTGAACCTTCAAGTAAAGAAAAGTGGACAACACTTTAAAAAGAAGAATTTTCAGAAGAAAAAGGGGTCCTGTTTTATTTGCGGCAAGCCTGGACATTTTGCTAAAGAATGTCGTCACAGAAAAAATAATAATGTAAAATCAAAGGCTTCTGCAAATATGATAGAAGAGAATCTGGTCGCTATGATTTCTGAAATCAATATGGCTTCTGTTAAGTCTGGATGGTGGCTTGATTCTGGAGCAACAATCCACGTTTGCAAGGACAAATCCTTGTTCAAAGGATTTGAAGAAATTTCAGAAATTACAGAAGTGCAAATGGGGAACAATGCTTGTGCAAAGGTTGCTGGAAAGGGGACTGTTGATATAGATTTTACTTCTGGAAAGAAATTGACTCTTATAAATGTTTTGTATGTACCCGAAGTTAGAAAAAACTTAGTTTCTGTTGATCTTCTTTGTTAAGAAAGGGTTTTGGGTTGCTTTTGAGTCAAATAATGTTATCCTGTCTAAGAACGAGATGTTTGTGGGAAAGGGCTACTTTTGTGATGGAATGTATCAACTAAGTATTAATAATAAAGTTATATCTTCTGTTTATATTGTTGAGTCTTCATATTTATGGCATGATCGCTTAGCACATTTAAATTTTCGCTATTTGAAAAATATGAGAAAGTTAGACTTCATTAACTTTAATGGTGAATTTGATAAATGTGAAATTTGTGCTAAGTCTAAATTAACAAAGAAATCTTTTCCAAGTGTTTCTCGCAAATATTCTAAAGTTTTAGATTTAATACATTCTGATATATGTGAATTGAATGGTATGTTAACTAGAGGAGGAAAAAGATACTTTATCACTTTTGTTGATGATTGCAGTAGATATATATATGTTTATCTTTTAAGAACAAAAGATGAAGCTTTTGATATGTTTAAAAAATACAAAACAGAAGTTGAAAATCAACTTGAAAGGAAAATTAAAGTATTACGTTCTGATAGAGGTGGTGAATATTTTTCTGATAATTTTAATACTTTTTGTGAAGAACATGACATTATTCATCAATGTACAACACCTTATACTCCCTAACAGAATGGTTTAGCCGAAAGAAAAAAATACAACTTTACAAGAAATGATAAATTGTATGCTTAATGATAAATTATATGCTTAATAATGCTAAGTTACCTTTAAATTTATGGGGAGAAGCACTGTACACAGCATGTTATATTCATAATAGAATTCCCTCTAAAAAGTTAAATATAAGCCCTTATGAGTTATGGAAAGGTAGAAAACCTAACCTGTCATATTTTAAAGTATGTGGGTGTTTGGCTTATTATAGAATTCCTGATCCTAAAAGAACAAAACTTGGACCTAGAGCCTTTAAAAGTGTTTTTGTCGGATATGCTGAAAATAGCAAAGCATATAGATTACTTGATTTATCTTCTAATACTATTGTTGAATCTAGAGATGTTGAATTCTTTGAAAATAAATTTTTTGTAGATTCTGAAAATGTTGAAAATGTTCCTACTCTGCTTAACTCTAATAATATTTCTAGTTGTGATTTTCATGTTAAGGAAACGAATACATCTAAAGAAATATCAGAGCCAAGAAGAAGTACTAGAGCAAGAAAAGAGAAATCTACTCCCACCTCATAAATTGATTCTTAAAAAGAAATTGTCCAATCATGCTGTTACGAAATCTTGACCCATTTAATGGAATGTGCAATGGCACACGAATGATTTGTAGAGGGTATGAAGATAATGTCATCCATGCTAAAATCACAGTTGGTCAACATTCTGGACAAAATGTCATGATATCGAGAATACGATTATCTCCAGCTGAAAATGAGGGTTATCCATTCCGATTTCGTAGAAAACAATTTCCAATCCGATTATGTTTTGCAATGACAATCAACAAAGCGCAGGGACAAACAATACCTTATGTTGGAGTTTATTTGTCGCACCATGTATTCTCACATGGTCAATTATATGTTGCATTATCAAGGGGGTATCTTCGAGAACAACTAAGGTGTTAGTGAAAGTTGAGCAAACAAGAAGAACAACAAAAACATACAAAAAAAATATTGTGTATCCACAAGTATTATTGCCTCAAAGGTAAATCACCTAAACAAATTCATGACTCATTATTTTTTCATTATATGATGCAAATTTTGTACAACTTATCTTTCAAACAATTATTATCTAACACAACATTCTAATATGCAGCGAAGATGTGTATTAAAGCTGTTAACTACTTACAATGCAACATACTATCTTTGATCTCAAAGGTGATTTCACTCTTTCTGTAACATTTATAGTTAGGTTTGATCCTCGAGAAGTTGAAGATGCCTGATCATGCTCGATTCAGTTTTGTTTATAGGTCATGGAATCTAGCTGTTATAGATCAAATTGCATTGCTGCAGCCCGATTCACCATGGCTCTCTACAGTTTGACAAAGATGCATCTTTTGAATCTGATGAATGCTGCTCAAATTGAGCTACCTTCTGTCTATTTATGTCAAACGTAGATAAGATATGATTCTGCTACATTAAGTGGACATATAATTTAATTATTTCGATTACCTCATTTATTTTGTGGTTTTTCTGTCAATATCGTGGTTTTTTACATGAAAAATAAGTGTTCTATATGATCATATTTATAACCCTATAGCATCTATTTATATCATTAATTAAAAAAAGTAGCAAATTATTTATGAGAACAAGCATAAATTGCCAATTAAAAGCCGGTCAATAAAAACCTAATATATATTATCTACGACATCTTTCAAATATATGTCACATAGAAAAAATTTTATCAATGCAATAAAAATTATAGGGCTACATATAAACAATAAAGTATTAACACGTGCAACGCACGTGCACCATACTAGTATAATTAGAAAGGTAAAAAGAAATAGAAAAAAGTTAGGTTAAGACCCTTTTAAACCCGGCAGGCAGTCATGGGCCTGAACCAGTTCGGCCCATGCCCCGACGGACCGCTCTTATGTTCTCGCTCAGAAGTCTCCATTTTGTCGAAAACAAGCGACACGGCGCGTTTTGGTTAAGACCCTGTTGAATTTGAAGAACTTTCCAGGAAATTTTAGAGGATCGTTATGGAATTTACGCAACTGTGGGGGGCTAATGTGTAAATGCTGCCCAAAACACAGGAGCAGGAGGATTGATTGTTTATAAAAGCAAAGCAACGGCAAGAGGGAGAGATCGAATTAGAGGATGTTGACGGCGGGGGCGACGTATTTTCGCTATCGCTCTCATCCAACCGGTTGGCAGCGATTGGCCCGCTGAGGATATTCGTGAAATCGCCGACTTCGCCATGGAGGACCAAAACGAGAAGAGAAAGAAAGAGGTATGCTTCTTCTTCTTCTTCTTCCGCTAAAGATGATCAAATAATTGTTACTCTTATTTCTATTATCACAGGGTGGCAATGAACTCCGGCTTAAGGAAGTCATCAAGTGTAATGTGAGGGCTGCTTGTCCCCTCAACTATTACATAACTTTAAAGGCCGAAGATGTCGTCACCCTCGAGGTCGATGAATATGAAGCCTTGGTGATGACTCGTTGCGGAAACCAGAAAGACGAGGTTCATATCTTTAGGAAGAAAAACAAACCGACTATTAATCCACCAGCGTCCACAGAGGTATAATTAAACCCATCTCCCTTTGTACAAGATTATGCTTTGTCTTTTCCCTTGCGAGAGTTTTTCGTGCAAAGCTGGATTAATTAGTTGACTTGGAAGACATTTGTAGCTAGTTATAAAAGTGATGCACATTAATTCCTGGTGGTCAAGACAATGTCAATTTGAATATGAACTGGAGCACAAATGCATGGCAAGCATGATTGACGCACGGCGGAGATTTGGGCAGTTTTTGTGCATGAGTGGTCTCACGTGCATTTTTCAAATTTACGAATAATAGCAAATTGTCCCTATATGCTTCTATTTCTGATGCACTTATCATATCAGCTCATATTTAGTAGTTATATTTTCACCTTCACTTCCTCCCGTACGTTCTCCCTTGGCATGGTGTGGTAGCATTAAAGGAATATTCCTTGTATCATTCTGTGTGATATTAGCGTGATTGGAGTTTACTCAATACCTAGATTATAAACTCCACTAATACCAATATGCATCAGCCACACCAAAATTGCATCAGGAGCTTTTCATTCCTTATCACTCTATAGTTTCGATCAAAATAAGGCTTGTTTTTGCCTTTTGGATACGTAGGGCAAATTAGGTACGTAGAGCCATTTATCTTATAAAGTCAAATTGAGTGTGTGGATGAATTATCATTGAGAATTGCATATAATGTTGGAACCATAAACCATGCTAGATTTCTAGTTTAGACGAGCGATGTTGTTTGCTTTACTCATTTGTTAGATGTATATTCCAATTTCATTGTTGCGTGAAGAGAACAACGTGGCTAAGAAAGACTTAATTCTACATTGCGATTCACCTTTAAATAGTGTTACTTAACAAAGCAGGACCTCCTCTTTATTTGGTAGACAATATTCGCTTTGGTTCATCCTTGATTGTTAACTAATCTCCGCTTGCCACAAATACGAGTCATTTAGCAAACGATGTCCACACGTGACTGTGTCAATTGTTTTTGCTCTCTGGATCTATATGCAATTTGTTTTTCTAATTATTAAATTCTTTAGGTTTTCCATGTAGCGTAATGAGTCCATGATATTGCATCTGTCAATTATTTGTTGGGTTCTTTCATAAGGCGAAGAAAGCCTTAATTCTACTTAGTGAATCACGTTTAACTAGTGTGTTACTTAACAAAGTAGGATCTCCTCTTTATTTGGTAGACAATATTCACTTGTGCATCTTTGATTATTAACTAATCTCCGCTTGCCAAAAATATGAGTTCTTTAACAAACAAGGTTCTCATGTGACTATGTCAATTATTTTTGCTCTTTGGGCCTATGTGTAACTTGTATTTTTAATTATTAAATTCGTTGGATTTTCTATGCAGCATAATGAGTTCCTGATATTTCATCTGTCAATTATTTGTGTTTTTATCATAAGGCTAAGAATGTTAGCAAAGCAAACCAGATATTTGATATGTCTGAGCAGTTCGAACTTTGAACCCAATTCAATAACATTGAGGTTCTTTTTGGGAACATGTCTTTGGGTCCTAGATTTAAATTCAGCTTGGCCAGATCCAAATCTCATGTTTTGGCATTCTTTTGGGCAATGCACTTGAAATCAAATTACTTAATGTGGACGGAATTTGAACTCCAGAATGGTGGAGTTCAAATGATAACCTTATACTAGTGACTTTTCCTAATATTTTTTTCCATTTCTAAGGTCATCTCTTCTATATAACATCAAGTTCTCTCTCTCACTTAAATTTCAGAGTCTTGGCTAGCGGTGAGCAAATGGTGAATCAACTCGGTTTTTATCAAAATTTGACAAACCGAAAGCAAATTGTTTATGATTCGAAGTGAACCGATCTGACCTAAATACCTTTGCTTATCTCGGTTTGGTTTATTTGGTTTCGGTCTAAAATCGATATAAATATCAATGACTTGAAGTGTTGTTTTCGCCCTCACTTAAAGATCTCAAACACCAACCGAAATAGGAAGGTTCTATTTGTATTGCTTAATTTTGGGAATGTAGTCCGAAGTGAATACAATTGTTAAAGTGTTTACCAGGACTCTTAGACTTGAACTTTTTGCTATTGCGTTCAATTGCTAATTCATGTAACGGTTTACACTTGGTTCCAAACCTAACCACTTCAAGAAGTTGCTCAAGTTACGAACCGAAGTCATTGAGCCTAATTCATGTTGAATCATTGATAAAAAAAGATGATCTCAATTTATTTATGAGATAAACTACTATAATAATATCTGCATAAGGATTAGGAATAGACGTGGATTTTTTTTCCCAATCAACAGGAATAGACATGGATTTTAGTTTGAAGTATTTTATCTGGTGCAAATAAGTTTGGTCCGTTTGTTTATTCAGTTTAAGCCAATGGTCCGTTTGTTTATTCAGTTTAAGCCAAACTTTGCTCACCCTTAGTCTTGGCCACAACCTCATAAGACCTTAACAGCCTTTAGAGACAATGCTGACGACAACAAACTTCAAAGGCGCTAGTGGCCGAATTTCGACGAGGCCACATTCTTCAAAAATCCAGCCACTCGATTCTCTTTCTCTCTAGTATCTTTCTTTGAAAGGTTACCCATTTATTTTTGTTAAATCTGTTCTATTTGTGTTATTGCTTTAGATATTTTGCCTTTGACTCAATAACATTGACTTTTTCTCTGATGGATTCGTTTTTTAAAGGTTTCTTACAACAATTTGTTTTCCTTTTTTGACTGATTTATTTGGGTAGGTTTGTTATGGAAATATGTTTATGAAGATTGACTTTGTATTTATTTTTTGTTATATTTCTGACTACAGAGTTCTGAACAAAATGCTATTGCCGAGATTTGTTATGCCAAGGCTTGTTATGTTAGTCAAAGGTTTAATTTAATTTGATTTTTTAGTTGGGGAAAAGTCAAATAATTTTCATTTCAAAATGTTAATTCTTTTTCAAATGTATATTACAGCAATAAAAGCTCTTATAGCAGGGGAAAATACTAGTTATGGACTCATACTTGAGTTGTAATCATTGTTTCTTTAAGTGATGTTTGAATTGTGGTGAATATGTGATAGTTTAAATGCTTAATTTCTATTTTTGTAATCTTATTGATGCATGTTAAATCATATTTTGCAGCTTGAACCAAGTAATTCAGATTGTGCAGTTGAGGACCCAGACAAAATTTGTGACTCCAGAAGTTGGGACCGAGGGGAGACAAGAAGGAGGAGACAGCGAAGGAGGAGAAGGAGATCCTGAGTTATGGTTTCTTTTAGTAGGTTCATGTTGATATCTTATTTTGGCTTATTGGACAGTTTGGTTATATTGTATCTGTGGCATGTTATCTTTTAAATGAAGGCTTGTGGTGAATTCAGGACCTTCTCCTGTTGATTTTATGCTAGAACTCTTTTGTATTGTCGGACTATTTAAGAAAGATAATCGTGTCTAGTTATGTTGAATGCTGAAGGGATGTAAAACCTATGTTTTTTTTCCAAGTTGTGGTTTTGTTGTTTTGTGTATGGCATTTGGGTGTTTGATAGTGTGACTAAGATCACTGCATGAACTGGTTTGCTAATTCGAAGACTCACATAAATAGCAGCCTTGGTTTTGTGTTTTTGGTTGATGAATGTTTCACAGATCCAATCAACTAGTGAATAATTTCAAACATTATCATCTTCTGTAAGACCATGTGTGGTATGCATTAATATATGATACTGAGATGCTATGAAACAAGAAATTCTAATAAACTACAGAATTGATATTTCATGGATACAGCGGAACACCCATCAGAAAATCTAAATGATGAATACGTTTGCTATAACTCCCGTCTTGATAGGGAATAAGTTTGTTATAACTCCCGTCATGATAGGGTTGCTATAACTCCCATCATGGTTATGCACTTAATTTGTTTTTTTAAAGAAATAGTCAAACACGTAAAGTTGACCATGGTAGGCTGAAAAAATATCTATGATCTAAATAAAAGCATCTTTAACAACGTTAACTACATTTTTCATATGGATGAGTAAAATTATCCATGAGGAAATTTTTGGTTCACGCTTTCAGAAACTTTCTGAAAAACATTGAAAGTTAATGTTGGTTTTTTGAGAACAATGACACTTACAGTGACGATATGATATTTTAAAAATTAAGAGAGTTGACTAATAAACATCCAAGCTCGGGGGTTGTTTGTGAAATTCACCCCATACTTAGGGGCTGTCTGGTCACTCATTTTTTTAATGGAGAAGAGTGCAAATTTCTATAAATTTGGGGGTCATATTTTACTTTTCTACTTTTCCATATTTAGTTTAACCTAAAAAACAAAGGGAAAAATATGTCCAGACCCCAAAAACAGAAACTTCATGTGATGAGGCCTTTTGTATATTACCCCATGTGGATAAGCCCCAAATACACACAGTATTTGTGATGAGGCATCAAAGTATCAGATTTCAAAAAAATCCCAGTGGAAGTTACGAATTTTCCCTTTTGATGGGACTGAACTCGGTTAGTGTGCCCCTCCCTGTTTATTCCCAATTTCTCTATCATTAATCCTCTCTCTCTCTCTCTCTCTCTCTCTCTCTCTCTCTCTCTCTCTCTCCCGCCATGGTCACTGAAAATGATCAGGTCCTGGGGAAGCCGGGGAAGGAGAATGCAAGAGAAAGTAACATACAGATCTGTAGGAGAAAAATAAAACCAACTTAAGATACAATCAATAAAATGATTCTAAAGCCAACCACAGATACATGTACCAAAGCTTTAAGCTGAACCATAATACAAAATAGTAGACGCACGTCTGACATCTAAGTTTTGTTTTCCTCTGTTGCCTTCTCTGCTATAATATCTACAAAATCTGATGCCCCATTGACCTTGATTCCCTACAAAAAACAATAAGTTAGAGATCAATAATGTATGTAAATTTAAAACTATACGAGAGTTTGAGAAACAAACTTAAAAGACATTGAATGAAAGAAAGACATTGAATATTTGAGACAAGTAAAAAGATTTGGCAAGAAGTGATATGAAGCTTTCTGTGAAGTTTTCTTACCTCCTAAGGCAGTAAAACATGAAAGAAAATATTTGGAACATCAAGATGGATGTTCCATGAGCATACAGGAACAGTGAATAGCACTACTTTCTGTGACGCTTTAGATATCCATCTCACGCACCAAACAAAGTAAACTAACGCAAACAAAAAGAAGAAGCTACACAATTTACTTCGAGAAGCAATGTTAGGAGACCCATCCTTTCAGATTAGAGAGGAATGAGAAAATGAGAGATTATAACCTAGTCATGTGGTTTCTAAATGAGATGGTATGAGTTCTACAAAGTACTAAATATTTGAAGAGGGTCAAATTGGGACACTATGAAATGCATGAGCCTAGCAAGTAGTTCATGTTCTTCCCCTATTTGAGATTCAAATATGGGCTGTCTAGATAAATTTAAATACCTTTCCTAATTAAATCCGAGTCATGACAAGATGTGATTAGCCCAAACTCATTTAACATTATTCATCCTCTATTTGTAAAATCCAGATCATCATGCAATATTGTTGGTGTAGGTTGGCATGGGTACATGCCCTCTTTATCAAATTTGATTTACAGAGAGATGATTTACTCCAAATTTCCCATGATTAATTTGGTGGAATGATCTTATTGGTTATCATAAGAAATCTGTTCCGGGTTATTCTCAAATAAATTCCTAAGTTTGTTTTGCCACACTGCAGATGCTAGAAATGACTACAATAGAAACCTCATGCAAAAACCATGTATCCTGTGTTCTGTTTTTTAAAAATATAATCTCATTAAGTCAATTATAAGCACTCAATGTGATTTTCCTTATAACTGTATCTTATGCTTCATCAAAATATTACTACTCAATGCATTTTAATTCAAATATATATTAAGTCATGCTGAAAGAGAACGTCTACTACCAGAGAAAATGTAAAGATTCCTCAAGATTGTTATTGAGAATTGAGTAAATCAAACTCTAGATTTAATTATGAATAGGCACATTGACATGACGATAGTAAATAAGAAATATCTATTGTATTATTTTCCTTTTTCTTTCTTTCTTTCTTCGGTAATCACCGCCCATGCACTTGCACACACACATAAAAGAGAAGGGAAAGGGGGGAAAATGAAAGAAGAGGAAGAGCATAAATTCAGCATTTTTTGTAGGTACAGACACAAAATTTTCATAAAGCAAGCAGCAGTATTTTTCTTTAGAATTAGGCTTAGAAGCTCTAATACATTATCCCAATCCCAATTCTGTTCAAACTCCAGAATAATCAAAACAGGCACAGTTTTATATTCTCGTTAAATAAGAGGGGTATAAATTAAAATCCAATTTGGGAGAATGTAAGGGTAACTAAGAAAATATGCGGATTTGAGGGGGTAAATCTGCAGATGAATAGGTGTCGGGTTAGATGGGAAACAGCCCTGAAATTTATGTACTAAAATGTTAAAAATTATGGTACAACATGTTCAAAAATAAGAGTAATAAAAATAAGTTCCTGTGGTATCTATATGACTAGGGATATATGATATTTGTTTCTTTACCCTTACACGATATCATAGGAATATATCATTTTTGTTTCTTTACCCTTACACGATATCATAGCAATGTATGATACTTGTTTCTTTACCCTTACACAATGTCATAAGATATCATACATCTTAGGCTGATAAGTTTCAGTTTTTGTTGCTTTCTCCTACTAGTTTTATTTTCTCATATAAACCCATGATAAATATGTGATGGAATTATTGTGCACATGTCAACTTTTATCAGATAATATGACTCTTGTTGGATGGTTCAAAAACTGAATAATATTAATGATTGTTTGTGTTTTGCTTGGTGACCATGTATTAACTAGTATAAAGATATACATTTGTAAATTTTGTATACCGTAATCTTACTTGCAACTACCATGTTAATTAAAATTGAAAAAGCTTTGCATTAGAAGTAGTCCGAGTCACATTACCAATGAAATCTATTCTGAACGTAAGTCTCCATTCTGGTATAAATTGTGTGGCAAATGCCATTAATAAGTTCAAAGAACTGAAGATTCAGAGAATGAAACATTAATGGAATCGCTTTCTCTTTCTCTTTCTCTTTCTCTTTCTCTTCCTCTTCCTCTTCATCTTCCTCCTACTCTTCCTCCTACTCTTCCCCCTACTCTTTCTCTTTCTCTTTCTCTTTCTCTTTCTCTTCTTTCGGCCTGTCCGCTCGCCATCTGGAATTAAACATGAGGGGAAAATTAGCTAAGGCAATAGGAGATCAGATTTTCTCCACACATAGTACCCTGCTTGTTGCTCAATGTGTGTATAAAGGTGAACAAAAGGATTTTGAATTGAATGGAATAGTCGAAGAGTTTTAAATAGACCAAGATATATTACTTACTAATAATCGGATAGGAACATCTAAGTAGAAGTGGTTTTCCATTGGGAGGTAAACTTGAATCTCGGCATATTAGTCCGTATCCATCCTCTCCCCATTGCGTGCCCCAACTATTCATTACTTTCCAATAATTAATGCCATCCTTTATACCATACCCAACGATAACAATTGAGTGCAATGTCAGTCTAGTATTCTCGCCAGGAAACCTGTAAACTTCTCCGGCCTGAATAGATAGAATAAAACAAATTACACTAATTAATGTCCGAACCAATTATTCAGTTTTGAATTTATGTAAGAACTTAAGGATTTTCATAGTTATAACTTTTGACACAAATCTTAATAAGGATTTGGCAACAGAAAAAGGACTATATAAAAGGAACAAAAAAATACTCACCTTGAGCTTCCTAAAATTTAGTGTGACATCTATCACAGCAGTGACGGGGTGATAATTGACACGCAATAGTATAGTTTGTTCGTCCCAAGGTTTAATTTCCTTATAACCCAAAATCCGATATATTGGTGTGTTCTAAAAAATAAACAAAATAATATTAAAATACTTTTTCAATGAGATAGAAAAAGCTAAAACACAATAATTGAATAGACTTAATCTTAATTACCTTTGTCCGCACCATGCAGTCCTCTCTTCTCATATGGAAGGGGCAATCTCTTTCGTACATGACCCCTATTTTCCTTATATACTCAAATGCTTCGACGGTAGAACTAGAGTAGCATCCAACAGCGTCGAAATCACCATAAGATGGAAAATGAAGTGCGAAGCAGTTGATAATGTCTTGGGGTGCAAGTTGGATCATTGGTCGATACGTACGAGTGATTTTTTCTTTTGCTTCACAGCAAGTGCACGCCGCTATGCTCCAGCAGCAATCTACACATAGTCAAAAGCAATAGTCAAAAAGTGGTTTCACTCTATTAAGAACAAAAGAAATCCAAATAAGGGCATTGATAGCAACTGATAAGACAACACAATCATGTAAATAGTTATTTATTTTAGAAAAAGCCCTCTTTAAATGGTAAATTTTAGGAAAAACATATGTTTTGTCTCACAAGTGCTCAACTAAAAGATGTATATAAAAATAAAAAATAAATTGAGATTTATTTTTTTCTTTGATTCCCCCAAAGGTTATCCACTTTTTCACTTTAAAACCACAAATTTTTTCAACATTTTCATACCCTAAAGCTTCAATGTTATTTCACTTTGATACTTCATAGTATATTTTTACCATTTTGATATACCAAAAAATCAATCTCATTTCATTTTGATACCCCTATCTACTTATCATTAGATTTTGCATTGAATTTGTATCACATGCTTACCATCTGGGTAAAAGAGATTTAATGTATAACATGTTAAGGACGTAGTATAAATTTAGTAGGAATCTAACATAATATGGACAAGGGATATCGATGTGCAACATAATTGAAATTTTGGGTTATCAAAATGTTAAAGAAATATCTTAGGGGTATCAAAGTGAAATGGGATTTACACTTTGGAGTATCAAATTTTAGAGTTTCAAAGTGTTAAGAAGATACTTTGAGATATCAAAATAAAAATATTGCTAAACTTTTGGGGGTGCCAAATTGCAAATAAGGCAAAATAGAAAAAGATATGGGTAAGTTTTAGGAAAACCACCTCTATGTGGTCATTCCTCAGATAGCCCTCCCCAACTCCAATCTTAAAAATGCCCCAGAATTCACTCTCGATTTTCCTTTTGTTTTGGGTTCTTAAAAAAATCTGCTTTCAACATTATTCAAAAAGCCCCTCTAACTTTTATATTATTTCTTTTTGGGTTCTTAAAAAAATCTGCTTTCAACATTATTCAAAAAGCCCCTCTAACTTTTATATTATTTCTTATTAGTTTATTAGCAATACAACTGAGAAAAAGTAGTTTTATCCATAACTTAAGAAATTCCAAACCAAATTATTAAACCATTATTTTTTAATTTTGTTCACGCTAATGTCGTAGCAAGCATGGGTGAATTATGCTTGTTTATAAAACTATATTAAGTTTTTTAGAAGCAAATAATGACACGCTAATACCGCGGCAAGCACAGTTGAATTGTGTTTGTTTATAAAACTATATTAATTAAGATTTTTAGAATCAAATAATGACTCACTGCATTGCCCTTGATCTCTAACTTCATTTAGAACCCCAAGCTGACTCCAATCTTTACTTGTTGGAATTCCTTGTGGAAATGAAGCCTGCGTCAAAATCAAGAAAAGGTAATGGTCAAATAACAAATATTTAAAGAGACTAAAAAGACACAAAAATACAAAACATAAGCCACATATATAACTCTACAGCTTTCCTCCTTCACAACTCCCTTTGTGAACTAGTTAAAGTAGGATGAAATACAGTAAGATCAGAAACATAAATGGAAGGACAATATATAATTGGTCATAAAAGAATGTTTTGCAAAGCAACATCATGAAATAAACTTTAAGAAACCATGCGAGCCTCTCGGTTTTAATTTGTGGGTTTTCTCGATCGTCAATATAGAATGGAAATAATAATATATTACGTAGATAGTTTTTTTTATAATTAATAATTTTGCCACAAAAATTCACAAACCATATAATCTCCTTTATGTTGAATAATGATCGACATTACGTTGTTAGCCAATATAGATGCAAAGTATATGTGACCACAAAACCAGTCAGGCATTAGAAATTTCTAGACAAGCCTGTTTTGGTTTACAAATTCATAATGGTTTTTTTCATTATTGGATTGGACAATTTCTTTTGTGTATACACTTTTCTCTCTAGTTAGAATTCTTCATGTGAAATAGCATTTCGTCCTTTGCAATGTACTTCATTTCTTCAGGGTAGAGCTTCATCATCATCTCCCACTCCATCCTTGTTTTATAGATTTCAACAAGGTGTTTGTAACTCGCAGTGTATTTGGAGAGGATAAATCATAATGGATTTGAGTTGGTTTTTCCTTAAAAGATAAAAATAGTGAGGTAGATGTAATTTAACCGTAGCAAAAAAACCCTTCAAATTTTAACATTAATTAAGGTGTGGGGTAATTTGAGCGTTCAAAACAATTGAAGGGGCAAAATTTAGAAATACAATAATATGGAGGGTAAATTTAAAAAGGGGAATAAATCTCAAAAACTCCATTATATAACAAATTGTTATCTACATCTACTTCAGGATCTCAGACAATTTTTCCATTACGGACGATGTAAGTTTGCTAGAGAAAATATTATGTATATGACAAGTTAAAACCACATTCTTTCTGCCACATGGGATTAGTAATATATCATTTATTCATTGTTTTATTGTTAGGTTATTATTAGTTCATGTGAAGCATAAACGGTTTTATTCTTTTGATAAATAATTATCTAGTTTTAGCTACGAAATAATATAGTTGGGTTATATTAAAAGGATGTACGTAGTGGGAGAAGGGAACAAAGAATCTATATAAGGCGTTTGTGTGCAGAGACTACATTAAATTAAGGGAGAACAGCGAGAGGGGCAGATTTGAGAAAGTTGGGTACACTGTCGATGACTTTGCAGTGGCCGCATCTTCACAATCTAAGGTGGTTGATCCGAGACGGACGATTAGCTTGTGATTTTTTTTTCCTTCTTCTTAATTTTTAGTAAAACTGTATTGTAAATTTCTCTGATTTGGAGCTGCTGTTCGTCTCAAATTAATGGGGTTGTAAGATTTGTATCAGAGAGAGATACTGAAAAAATAAGGTTTATTCAAGCTTGTAAAACTATCATTTTACACCCTACTGAAAAAGTAAGATTTATTCTAGTAAAACTGGACAAGGTTGTTCGTCTCTAACTGGACAAGGTTATTCTAGCTAGTATCAACTCTGAAGATTCAAGCTTGTAAACTATCTTTTTAAGAATAGTGTGTAAGTTGTTAGATTTGTCTTCCTTTTTACCCTTCATGAAAATATGTGTCAATAGCAAATCAATTGTTTTGTTTACTTATGAATATTGTAAAATGATATACATACTGTGCTTTGAAATCAACCAAAATTGATGGCGTACGTAATATTAATTAGTTTTTTCTCTCATTTTCAGTTTTAAATCCGACCATGAGCGATGGAGCACCGGCGACATTGATCATGAAGCGATGAACTTTATAGAAAGAATCAATCAAAAAGCAAATAGTGATGATAAATGATGGACGACCGGTGGCTCGCCGGCCACATTAATGGAGACGATGAGCTCAATAGGAAAATATATGTCATGCGTGATAATAAATTAGGGGTAGTTTAGGGTTAATGTAAAATATGGGTGAGGACGGGGCGTTTTCACAAATGAAATAAAACTCTAGGCAGTTAAAGGCATCTATCCTTTTTGTTTGGGGGTAGGAAGCTTGGTTTTTAAAAAACCAGTGGGGTGGAAGAATTTTTGCCTCTTTCTTTTTAACAAATTATAAATCTAATTATATTTCAAAACTTTAGCAACTGATTGCATGATTTGGCGTCGCAACTATGTTTTCTTGCGTACCAAACACTTCCTAGTGAAGACTTAACCGGTCGGATTGGATTTAAACATAACAAGTAACATGGACTTATTTATTGTAAGTCAAAATAAAAGGATAAGTAATACCAAAATTTCGTATTTGGTGATCATCATTTCAAATTATGTAAACGCCTATATTTGTAAAGTGTTTCCAAATAGTTTTTTTAAGGAAATTTTAATCTCATAATTATTAATTTGAGATGAATATTGTTTTTAGCACTTTCTTTTTTACAACCATATTTCCTCTTGTAGAAACTTTTGTATGGAATATTTGAACTTTAGATTTTATGCTAAACATAACAATTGTTAGACACCAGATAACTAAAGCTAGCTGAAAAAAATTAGCAAAAAGTTAAAAAGATCAAATGCAGTAAGAGGCATAGCAGTGGCTATTGTAAATTTCCCTGATTGGGAGCTGCTGTTCGTCTCAAAATAATGGGGTTGTAAGATTTGTATCAGAGAGAGATACTGAAAAAATAAGGTTTATTCAAGCTTGTAAACTAACATTTTACACCCTACTGAAAAAGTAAGATTTATTCTAGTAAAACTGGACAAGTAACATTTTACACCCTACTGAAAAAGTAAGATTTATTCTAGTAAAACTGGACAAGGTTGTTCGTCTCTAGGAGCTACACAGAATGAAGATATCCGGCCGGTGGTGATAAAAATGTCATCATTAGTAATTCTATATAACTAGGAATTCATATATAAAGACTATTTACTCCCTTCAGAGTGAGTTACTATCATGAATAATTTAATATATAAATTCTGCAATCAATAAAGCATTTTAATATCCTTTTGAAAAGACCCAGAGCCGGCAAACAATATATATACCTCAGCCATTATTTCTCTTCTGGATGAAATAGGCAGCAGCCGATTGTTGAGAAGAGCCCACTTTGCTGAGCTAGGCCCTAGAAATAGTTGAGGGAACAGAGAGAGGCGAAAAGCTAGCGGCCG